CGATCTAGACTTCGCAGGAGAAGACGAACAGTGTGGCAGCAGCCTCAGCAGCAGTAGGTCTCAATATACACAAAGGGAAAAGCAGGATTCTCCGATACAACACAGAATGCACCAATCCAATCACAATTGACGGAGACGATTTGGAAGATGTAAAAACCTTTACATATCTGGGCAGCATCATTGATGAACAGGGTGGATCCGATGCAGATGTGAAAGCGCGGATCGGAAAAGCAAGAGCAGCATATTTACAACTGAGGAACATCTGGAACTCAAAGCAACTGTCAACCAACACCAAGGTCAGGATTTTCAATACAAATGTCAAGACAGTTCTACTGTATGGGGCAGAAACCTGGAAAACTACGAAATCCATCATCCAGAAAATAAAGGTGTTTATTAACAGTTGTCTACGCAAAATACTTCAGATCCGTTGGCCTGACACTATTAGGAACATTCTATTATGGGAGAGAACAAACCAGATCCCAGCGGAGGAAGAAATCAGGAAGAAGCGCTGGAAGTCGATAGGACACACATTGAGGAAAGCACCCAACTGCGTCACAAGACAAGCCCTCACATGGAATTCTCAAGGCTAAATAAAGGAGATGAGGAACACCAAAGAACAAATTACACCGAGAAATGGAGACAGACATGAGAAAAATGAACAAGAACTGGATGGAACTAGAAAAGAAGGCTCAGGACAGAGTGGGTTGGAGAATGCTGGTCAGCGGCCTATGCTCCATTGGGAGTAACAGGCGTAAGTAAGTAAGTAAGTAAATTTCAAACTCACTTACTACTCATGCACTCATATAATCTCTAATTTAATGCTTCAAATCAATTTCCCACCTTTAGTTTCTCAATTCAGCCGGACTCGAGTTTGGTTCATTCGACAGTCATCACTTATTAATCACACTGAGTAATCAAAATAATGCGATGAAACAGTTCAATGTGAAGAGATCTTGCACAGAGTAGTTTAATTTATGGGTTTTACTCGTTACAAATTGATTTTATTTAAAGCACTTTAGCTCTTCTAGAGTTACCTTCGGTCTCAAGCCCCGGTAAAGGAGGAGGGTTAAGCATGGAATTGGCTTAAATCGCATATGTAGATACAGACGTCCCTATTAGATCTTATATGATTAACATACTCAATGAATCGATACTTTCAGAGTAAAATGACTTACAATCTATTACGATTTCTCGAGTATATTGACCTATCGTTCTTGATAATAAATACGACATTGAAATGCATAAATTAACACTAACAACCTCTAATGATATAGAATTGAACAAAATGGTTTAGTAATATTGGTGGGTCAATAAGCACTATCAGTATAAACTGGACTCTAATCAATACATTTAGCTCAACATATAAGACTAGCATTTATTTAATAACTTAGTCATTTATACATTCAGTCAACATCATATTTACTAACATATACTGTAGTTATAGTGTATATATCCTGAAACAATGATCTTGAATAAGATCTTATTTATAAATACCATCCAGTACTTAATCAATAAGTTCATTATTGGATTTATTTGCCAAAACTTCCTCTTTTACCAGGGATTGGGACCAGCAGTAACTCTAGAAGAGCTACAGGCTTCAACTAATTTCAAAGTCACAATCTTCAGTACGAACGTCAAGATAGTTCTACTGTACAGAGCTGAAACTTGGAGAACTACTACAACCATCATCAAAATGGTACAAGTATTTATAAATAGTTGTCTGCGCACGATATTCAACATCGATTGCACGGGCATCATCAGAAACAGTCTACTGTGAGAGAGGATAAACTGGCTTCCAGCTGACGATGAGATTAGGAATAGACAATGGAAGTGGATAGGATATACATGTGGGAAATCATTTAATGGCATCACTAGGCAATCGCTGAATTGGAATCCTGAGGGGAATCGGAAAAAAGGAATGCCGAAGAACATAGTACGCTGGTAAATAGAAGCAGGTATGAAAAGGGTGAATGGCAACTGGAAAGAATTGGAAAGGATCTCCCAGGAAAGTGTTGGTGGCGGCCTATGCTCCTCCATGAGAGGTAACAGGCGTAAGTACGTAAGTAAGTGAGTAAGTCTTTCTTGGTAATTGTTGTTCTCGTCGTAAAAAAGGGAGGAAGTTAGGTATTAGACGTTGGTTTAAATTGCTCACTTTCATACTAGATTAGACATCCTTACCATAAGGCATTTATGTAGGGGTTTTTTATTTCATAGTTAACAATATGAACTTATCTTAGTTAATCAACCAGAGAAAATAAGAAAGTATTACAAACTTAAAATATCACCGCAGAACCTCAATTGTAATTAATCATGTGCTCACTAGTGAATATCTTCAAGAAGTAATTCTAGGGATTTAGTGAGAAGCAATGACCACTAGAGTTCAACATTGTCGAGTGTAAGGCAGTGGAGAAGATTTGTAACTCAGGTGGATGATTTTGGTGGAGTTTCGTTCCAATCAACGTCGAGGTACACAGAACAAGCTTTGAGACACATATGGAGAAATTCAAACACTTCACTTCTATCTAAAGTTTGTGCTGATGATGTCGTTCAGAAGAACGATGAAAGCTCCACGACCAAATCATCCAGCTCAGAGAACAAAACTCCACCAAAAGTGTAAGGCAGTTACACATCAATTATATTGGGAGATAGTTATGGGGTACTACGAAGTGACTGAAGTTAAACATATATATTCTTAGTTGAGATTATTGAAGATCGTGAAAATCAGATATAAATTGACTTGAATTTCAATCTTAACAGTGGTATGATTCTAGCAAACTACTACCATAGTGAAGCGAGTAAAAGGTGGTCTTGTTCAGTTACTATATTAACCAAATTCAGGGCATTTTGAGTATCATGAGTAACGGTGCCAGAACACATCGGATACGTTTCTCTCCACTGAGATAAAAAGTGTTATTTCTTCACTGGTCTGTGTTAAGATCTCATTTGAGTGCGTTCATCACGTCAAAAACCCTGGCTGATGAAATCGTACCACGGATAGAAATAGCTCATTGAAATTTTTAGTAGTTCCTCCATGTGTGACATATGTGGCATATAAGTCACTCTGCAAAATGGTCAGTATACTGTGTACCAAATGACGCTGTATTGCTTTTTGGCTGTTAAAGTGAATGACACGATATGTTGAAAATATTCACTCATAGATGTCACCTGAGCACTGCATATAAGTGATCGAATCACGGTGTTTGCATCTCTACGGTTTGGTATAGGGTTCCAGGAAGAGTTGTGAAATAGGCTAGTGAGCCCGTGAATTTTCATTACGTAAAATGTCTGAGATATATATTCTATCAAACCGAATCCTCCTGTGACGCGTACTATCGGTTAGCACAAAGGTACTTTGAAAAAGAAAAAACAACAATTGTTGTTTTAGCTTTATTCAAAATCGATAATTCCAGGAAGAAACAACTCGTTTTAGTTTGACCATGTGCATTCTTATTCAAACTTGTTCCTAAACCAGTAAACAAAGCTGATTCAAGTAGATGGTAGTTTCTTACTTAATTTCTTACTTACGCCTGTTACCCCTCATGGAGTATCATAAGTCGCTTACCAGTATGTGTGGTTGTTAGCCTTACATAATATATGTCTCAATCATCTTGGTCAATGAAGATTCACCACCTTATCAATCGATTTGTTACCTCTACTCAGTACTCTGTGTCTAACTTCAGGATTTCTCTCTTATCGGTCCCAACATACTATAGTATATAAGAATGTACAATAATGAAGGATGTGTACCATGACAAAATAACTGTTCAGTACACCTTAACAACTAATGACTCGTCAATCGATGTCAGTCTATGGTAGAAAGTTATCTTCATTTTGAACTAATTTTAACAATATATACAAATGAATAATTCAGTTATCAATAAAAGAACTTCTGTTCTGATGCAATCTTCTCAAAAAACAAATTTTTCTGACCTGTAAATCATAGGTCAATGTATCTACTCTATAATAATTATTTTTCTCTTCTTCATGTTACACACATTACTCGTATGATATCAAATCTTGATAAAACTATGAACGGAGTTTCAATGAACAAATTCACGACTCAAAAAGTGTTTTAACACAATTAGGATATATTATTATTATGATTAATGACTCTGAGAGTAACGGTCCCAGATCTGTACCTATGTAACTTCTTCACGCCCCGGTAGCTTGGGCGCTTTTGCGTGCAGCCTCTGTGGCCAGCTGCTTTCGAGGCGCATTACCTCTGGTTGAGTTACTAGCAATCTTCTTGCTTCGTGCCATTCCGAAATATCGAGACACAATCTTTATTATCATAATATTACTTACTCCTAAAGAATTCTATACTATAGTGACGTTTTTCTCTTATTTTTAATGATACCATAAGTAATGTGAATCAGTGCAGAAAAAACTGGACTCTTTATTTATTTGAACACATAGATATTGGTACAAGGGGGCACGAGATACATATGCGCCACACAAATCTCATTTGATATGTGTGAGGGCTGTGATACTGCACGGGTGCCCAAACCGAAGCAGGTGGTTTTTTAAGGGGCCACAACCGGAGCCTTCAACCTATAGGTCTGATCCACAAGGCAGTGGAGCATCGTAAGGAAATGCAGTCCCATGGTAGCCGGTGACCAACGATTGGTTCATACGCCATTTGTTCCCGCAGGATACTGGAGCCCATGTGCTCCATTGGTTTGGAATCAGAGTTTTCCAACTCATCTAGGTGTACTCTCCGTGTCCACAAACCCGCTTGCAGCGCCAGACGTTTGCTTTTCGTCCTCTCAATTTCGTAGACAACAGTGATGCCACGAGAAGGCAGTGAGTAAGACTTCCGTGGTAGAGGCTATATACACGTGTCTATATGAGACCATTTCGAGAAGGTGAACGGATTCTCCCCAATCTCGGCAGTACCAGGGCATTTTGAGCCTCTATTCAAACCATTTGACCATAGCAACAAAAACCACACTTATATTAACTCTTAAATAAATACACAAATAGAAAAAGGAGATACTTACCTTCTCTTTTTCTTTTTTGAAACTTCCTCCCCGTAATTAGAACAATTTCCAGTTGACTTTATCACGACTCTTGTTATTGGTTATGTAGATAAAGAGAAGAATTTAATGAGAGAATAATAAAATATTGACTACACTCTTTATAGAGTTGAGTTTAGTTTTGTTTATTTTTGGTTGGTAACAATGTTGTTTTAGTCACTTGAATTTTCTCTCTCTCTCTCTCTCTCTGTTTATAAAAATGTATATCGTAATACTTTATAATGAATGAATGATTATAGTGAGTAATGAATAAAGTAAATAACAATAAGAAGACATTTTATTTATTCGTTGATTATTTAGTTCGTTTCAATTTGTGCTCTTGTAATTTCTTAGTTGGTGTTGTTACTGTGATTGTTGTTGCTGTGGTTGTGGTTGTTTTCTGTAAATTTTTTTTCAAGAAAAATAATAATATTCACTATTGTTTTATCGATTGAGTAATTCCAATAAAATGTTTATATTATTATTAGTAGTAGTATTATTAATATTGCTGAGAGAATACATCCCTTTATTTGTGTGTATATCCAAATTTATATAATTGCACAATATCTAGTGTGTGTGTATGCGCGTGTATCTGTTTGTGTGCATATGGTGTTCACGTGTGATTGCTAAAGGTAAGATTTTAACACAACCTTGTGTATTTGTGTGTTGGGGGTGGGTGGGTGTGTATAGGTACATAGGAGCCTACTAGTCACCATCCAACATTTACTCCGTCTGTCTGTCTGTCTATCTATCTGTCTAGCTATCTATTCAATTTTTAAAATTAAATATTAGACATGTAATAATATATATGATCCTGGTTAATCATTAATATAATGATAGTTTCAATGTGCAAATTATTTATACCCTTTTAGTTAATGTCTCTCAATAAATTTATTACTATGATTAGTTTATACAACAATATTGACAGTCATTAGAGTAAAGTTAGTTAGGTTTATTGTGTAAATGATAAAATAAATACTGATACACCCCTGTCTTTAAGTGTATATGTAATATTTTGTTTGTGTACAATGTAATCCAAGCATATTGATAGGTCATTATGGTTAAAATGGTTATTTTATGTTATGTGCTTTTAAAATGAGGATAAACTCTATGTTGTCAAGTTATCTAAGTATATAGTAGTCAGAAATTATGGTTATTAATATCAGAAGGGTTTTTGTAAATATCATAGTAATTTCAATAGTTGAAATCATAAGTCAATTGTAACTAAAGTATCATGGGAAATATGGAAGCATTGGATGGATGGATGGATGTATCGTTCTAATATGGGACTCATCAATAGTATGCATCCACGATCCCGTCACACGAGATTCGAACTCAGGACATATCAGTATCGTGAGAGAGCGATTAACCACTAAACCACTAGGCCGGTTGGTATCCAACAGTGTTAATGTTTAAATTCAACTAATCCACGAAATTGAGTGATACATATACCATTGTCTTCATTGAGTTACTATCTCATAACAGACCCGGTTGAACTTCAGTGGTCATCGCTTCTCACTAGAACTCCATGAAATACCTCTTGAAGCCAGTCACTGGTGAGATAAGTTTTCAATAAGATTTCCAATGCTGTTGAAGACCGACACTTTTTGATTGATAGATATCATGAACTGATTGATGTCAGACCACCATTGGGAACCTGGAAGCACTGGACGACCGTCCTATTGTGGAACTCGTCAGCAGTGTGCATTTTTTATACTTTTTTTTATTTAATCACTCAATTACAGATATTTTGGAACGATTTCTATTACAGAATTAAATGTAGGCAATATTGTATTTTTTTTCTCATCATGACTAAATGTGCTATACTTGAATCGTTCGTAATATGATAGAGTGGTATTTTTGTCGTAGTAAACTTTACATCTTTTGATATAAGCCAATATAAATAACAGAACGAAACATTCTCTCTATCATGGTTTGCGATAATGTAAGTTAATAAGTTCCGATAAATTTTTGGTTGGTTACCATATGTAATGCCAAAATTATGAACAAGAGTTTATCCTCATCCTAATTATACTGATAATAATGCCGACATCCATGTCATATGTTATTTGCAACCTCATTATATTTTAATCAATGTTTAGGTTTATATTCTCATCTAAATTAAGGTTTACTACACATAGCTTGTCAAATATAGTCAACAAAACGGAAACAAAGGCTAAGCAGAAGTTTATGTGATGACTGATTCACCAACTGACAGTAAATACAATGACATAACAAGAATCGCGCGTTCGCGCGCGAGACCGAAGGCCCTGGGTTCGACTCCCGCGAGCAAGATCGTGGGTGCGCACTGCTGAGGAGTCCCACAATAGGACGAGACAGCCGTCCAGTGCTTCCAGGTTCCCAAAGGTGGTCTGACATCAATCGGTTCATGATCTCAATCAATCAGAAAGTGTCGGTCTTCAACAGCATTGGAAATCTTGAAAACTTATCATCATTGAGTATTAAAATCGTCAAATTATAGAATTTATGACAGAATAGTGATCAAATCATATCTTAGAATTGATTTTTCATTATTAAAGCACATTATTTTCTTTAAAATCACTTATCCATTCAAGAGATTAGGATAAATATTTCGATGCTTGATTCATTCATAAATACCCTCCTCCACAGTTTTAACATTATTCATGTAGAGATTAACTAAAACGGTAGTACTAAGACAACGATTTGATAATCTATGACAACATGATTTCATTATGTGTTCACTGTGAACACAATGAATAAGAAAAAAATGTACTAATTGGCGATTATTTCGGATAAAATCTGTCTTAGAAGGAAAAGCGGTTTCATGTAATTTTTTCGTCTTACCAGTCAATTTTCTTTAATTAACCATTCATCCCGCAAATGTTAATCAAATTTCGTTTTCAGTCGGTCAGTCACCCAGTACTTAGGACCAGGAACATATATGCATCGGTTCAAGTTGCCATACCTCATTAGCACAACAAGACAAACACTGAATTCATAGAAGTAGTTACTTCAATGGTGGTAATATTTAAAAGAAAGATTGGATATAAAGATATAGTACAGGAAGAAAGAATTGGTTCGTAAAAGGAAATATATGAAGCGATTTTAATCTCATAGTTTAAGGAAAGACAGAGAGTGTATACACTGACGATATTGGGATCGATTCTGAGCCATGTCACCAAGAGTCTCCAACCATTTCTTAAGATATTCGCACGGACCCCAACCGTGTAGTCTGCATCTACCAACATGGCTCAGACTAGAAGTTAGTGACTTCAATAACTGATGCCACATTTGATTTGGCCGCCAGTAACTTTCTTTCAGGCGTCTCCAACACCGGTTAACATGGGATGTCGTGGTAACCGGTGTTCAGGCATACGTAACACGTGGCCCAAACATCTCAGTCGATGAAGATTCACAACCTTATCAACTGATTCACCATCATTTCCTAATACCTTGAGTCTAGCCTCACTATTACCTACCCGATGATCCCAGCAGATGCGAGGATTATTTCTAAGATATCTGTGATCAAATATTAGTAACTTACGAATATCTTCTACTCTCAATGGACACGTTTTGCAGCCGTAAAGTAGAACAGAACGAACTGTTGCACATTATATTCGTTTTCCAATAATACACTGAATAATTCTTCAATAAAGTATCGCTTTAATCAATAAACATGTTTGCTTAAACAGGTATATTATTCTATTTCTTACTAATTTAATATAATGATGATCAATACTCATGTATTTTGATATTTATAATCACAAACAAGTTTTTTTCTGTCACTCGTTTACCTCTAATATCATCATCATTATTACGTAATAGTATCCATGTGACATTTTTGCTCATATGCATGATCTTTATAACTTTAATTGCATAAACCACTAAGATCAAAGGCAAAACGTACATTTAAGTTCATTATTTACACTCCGTATACATGATCACTATAGATTGCATCATTAATGATAACAACAATCAATAATTTGTTCAATTAGTATCTAATCAGCTACCTTAAGTTTTATTGTAGTGAAACTTATGTATTAAACCAATTAGATGATTGGTAGTGATCAGTAAGAAACCGTGAACCTAGTTTTTGTACTATTTGACACTCCTCAACTAAGCACACCTCTATTCTTTGAGATTCACTGATTACTCAGTTGCTAGTATCTCGGTCTTACAGGAGGTTATTTTCAGGGTGAATGACTCAGTTGTAGGATCCCAAACTGCCATGCTGTGAGTGGATTGAGTTCGTATCCCAAAGGAAATATCAGTTTCTTCAGGATTGCAGATACACCATGCTGACGAATGTTAAATGGTATGAAGCCTGTGTGAAGCAAAATACAATTACCTGTGGTATCTTCAACCTTCTTTTTACAACTGAAATATTGTAGTTTTGTAATTGATCTGAAAGTGTGTTTTTTTCAGGGGTGGGGAAGGGAGAGTGGAAAGATTGTTAGAGAACTATTATAAATTATTTTTCTATTAAAATAACTTAAGAATTAAATGTTTCCACGAACAATAATCAGTTAGTCACTTAGTGACTGAATCAGCGTAAGTGGGTTGATAGGTGTCGGCTGATAATAAAGTATAACAAATTAGAATAAAACAACGGTCTAATTCTTTTTTCACATTCAGTAATTCATCAGCTGATGCCTATTAATTTTAAAAAAGTTACCTTTAGGAAATTGATTAATTATAATAGGCTTCCCGATTGGATGTCAATTATGAATAAATTGCAATCTTCTGCATGTATTATTATAAGAGGATCAATGACATTGTTTGTTGTCCTTCTCTCAGTTGTAGATGAGAGTAGGATTGAGGAATACTATGACTTGAAACCGTCTTTAAAGGGTATAGTTAAGACTTTAATGGATAGTACAGTGTTTCAGTGTTCGTATCCGACATCACCTTTCCAATCAACTTATATTGTTTGGTTATACTTTTATCTGTCCTAGATTCTTTGATATGTTTAGATGTTGGAACTGCAGAGGTAATTCACAAGGAACCCTACTTGACATGAGTTTCACTCCAGTTAGTACTTATCCACAAAGTATATCTAAAATCCAAAGGTGCATGGGGGTGGCGGAAATTGTAATAACTTAATAGTTGAATTCATGATTCAATTAAAGCTAGACGACCATGAAAAAACTGGAGGTACAGGACAGCGTTTTCAAGCAAGGTTGTCTTCTATGGGGTAACGTTGCTGATCCCATGTCCAACCCTACTCCTTTACCCGAACTTAGGACCGACAATAACCATAGAATAGTTGCTGGCGGTGTTACTTATAAATCTTATCTCAATAATATTCAGATGTTGAAATTATCATCGTAGAAATAGTTGGTTGTATCAGTGTATGTGATTAATTTTTGATTAAAATATTACATTCGTCAATAAAGAATTTCTGAAAGTTTGAAATCTCTATCAACAAACAATTCATCACAATAATTATGTTCACAGAACTCATCGTTAACCACAACTGACTGATTGATACTTCTAATCAGCGTTCAATCACACATTACTTATATACTTACGCCTGTTACTCCTCAAAAACGAGCATAGGCCGCTCACCTCCACTCTCCATCCAACACTGTCCAGGGCAATCCTTTCCAGCTCCTCGCAGTTCCTATTCATCCTTTTCATATCTGCTTCTATTATCCGACGCAATGTGTTATTTGGCTTTCCTCTTTTCCGCTTCCCTTCAAGATTCCGAGTTAGTGCTTGCCTCATGATGCTGTTT